GCTAGATATGGAGCACAGTTGACGTCAAAGGTAACTGTTTTTAATTTATAGTCGCGTAAGGGATTATTGGGGGATTTTCGGAAAATAATTCTCTGAAAATCCTGATCGTCTTTATGTACGACTATTTGCCTATACATTTTTTCTACGTCTCCGTTGAATACGTATTATCTGGTTAGAGCTTGGGTCCCGTAAATAGGATATCATTTAGGGAATTCCCCGAGCTAGTGGATCTTGATGTATTAAAGAAAACTCTTACTTTAGTTGTTTTTTTGTCTGGCTTTACCACTGCATGATGCGACAAGTGAAATGAGTAGTATTTGCCGTTGATGATTTTTTCGCATGGGCTTACTTCCTCCATGTGGTCTAAATGGAGGTATTCTTCCAACACACCACCATATTCTGGGTTAAGTTCGCCTTTTTTAAGTAATTTCTTTTCCATACTTTGAAACTGCTGTATTGCAAAGGTGCGAGAGTGACCTAAGGCGATTGCGTTTGGAAGGTGTTGTTTTAGTGGTAGTCGTACGCCATACCGACCATTATCTGATCTAGTAGTTGTGGCTTTGTGAAAGTCTTCACAATACTGATCTTCTGGGGTTGTAATTGAAATAGGGGGGAGTTCTTCTAACTCCCAAAATTTTTTCAACTGTGAATTGAGGTATTCGTTTGAGATTTCCTCAACTTGCGTTGTCATGGTGGAACTGGTTCCATAACTAGTCCACTTAGGAACCAACCGAAAATAGTATTTTGTACCAATAGTGTGTTTGAAATTTTCTCATTTTCTCCTCGAGTATTATCTGAGGTATGGGATCGCTGCCTAATAGAATGTCTATTTGAGCGAGCGTGTTGCAGTTGGGATTTGCAAATTTGAGGTGTCAAACCTTTGTCCAAAGCTTGCTATTTATATGATAGCTTGGTAGCATATTTGTTAGCTGCGGTAAGACTTTAGCTTCTGCTTTAATTCTCCTATCCGCTTTGGGGAAATTAAGGAAATGGGACAGATTTTATTAGAGTTTCGAACTACTCTTTCGCCCACTCCTATGATTTCAAAGTTGGCTTGTTTTGTTAAAAGTTGTTGCCTATTTTGTGCCCAAGACGCTATGAAAGATCGTTGTAATCCTTGGTCTATTAAGGCCTAAGTTTAAACAGTTCTCCTCGGTGTTCGATGGAGACGACTGCTGTGGGTAGTAGTACTCTACTTTGATTTTCGCTGTGTAGCGTTTGGGTTTTTATTGCCTTTAAGCAGCATGGTGCTTCTTGGCAATTTTCGGGATTTCGCACTTCAGGATTTGCTGTTGCACATAAACCCGTGGCTCTTTTCATATTTGCGCTGTTTGGAAGTGAGCTGGAAAATGTGCTAAAATGCAGCATTGAACGATGTCTTTTATGACAATAAACGCAATTAAATTTGCTTTCGCACTCTTTAAGTGTAAGCACATGTGACAGGCGGTTTGTACAAAGTCGTTTTGTTTTAACGAAATTATTTCGGTCGATAATATTCAATTTTTTGAATTTCTCGCAAGATTTGAGCTTTGTTTGTACTGTTCGGATGTGAACGTTTTTTTTCTGAAGAAGCTTCTATTCAAATTGTTGTTGCTACTGGCTTGGGGTCTTTGGAAGCTTCTATTTAGGTCGTGGTGAACTGTTTTCGTTTTGACCATTTTTATACTCTCGCAACCTGTTGCTACAGAGTATAACAGTTTTGTTCACCTAACGGTTATTTGTATCACCTAAAACTAATCGAGTTAGATATAGGGTTATATATCCGTCCGTCTGTCCGTCCGTGCAAGCTGTAACTTGAGTAAAAATTGAGATATCTTTATGAAACTTGGTAGACATGTTTCTTGGTACCGTGAGACGGTTGGTATTCCAGATGGGCGTAATCGGACCCTTGCCACGCAAAAACAAATAAATTGCCATAACTAAGCTCCGCAATAAGATACAAGACTGTTATTTGCTACACAGGATCACATTAGGGAGGGGCATCTGCAGTTGAAATTTTTTTTTTTAAGTGGGCGTGGTCCCGCCTCTAATAGGTTTAATATGCATATATCCTAAACCGCTAAAGCTATAATAACAAAATTCACTGGAAGCAAATATTTTTAGCACTTCTATTGACGGTGTGAAAATAGTTGAAATCGGGTGGCAACTTCGCCCACTCCCCATATAACGGTACTGTTAAAAACTACTAAAAGCGCGATAAATCAAGCACTAAACACGCCAGAGACATTAAATTTTATCTCTGGGATGGTATGAGATGACTTTATAGGAACCGCCTTCAAAATTAGATAGTGGGCGTGGCACAGCCCACTTTTAGGTGAAAACCCATATCTTGGGATCTGCTTAAACGATTTCAACCAATTTCCAATAGGTACATAACGTTTCTTTTCATATTTCTATGTTATAGTGCGAAAATGGGCGAAATCGGACTACAACCACGCCTATTTCCCATATAACACCATTTTCAATCAACAATGATTATATCGGTGTAAAACTTTGCGTGAATAATACGTTTGTATGCCACCTTGTGACCAAAAATTGTCTAAATCGAACCAAAACTGTTCAAGCCCGTAAGTACTAAATATGTGAACCCCAGTGCCTATAGTTGACCTTCTACCGAAAATATCAGCCAATCCACAAAGAAATCTTAAACGAGTATACCATTTGACTTTGCGAGAGTATAAAATGTTCGGTTGCATCCGAACTTAGCCCTTCCTTACTTGTTTTATCTACCCTTTCTGCGATTTCGTATTGGGTTATTAAAAAGTCTTTCATCTGAGTCTTTCGAGATGAGAGCGATTGCTCCCACAAATGTAATGATTTTTCTGGTAAAGCGGCGGTGCATTTATTTACCAGTATTGGGTCCCAGCTGTCTCTGGGAATATTTTGTGTCGATAGAACCGACAAGCAATTGGAAACAGTGGATTGCAGTTTTATAAACTCTTCACTTGTTTCCTTTTGAATCTTAGGCAAGTTCATTAGTATCGTTACTTGCTTATCGACCAATATTTTTTCATTTTCACGTCTACATTTCAAAGCTTCCCAAGCCAAATTGAAATTATCTTCATTTAGTGCGAACAGTTTTACTATTACGCCTGACCTTTTGTTTTGTATCGGAGGTGATACAATTTTTGTGCATTTGATAATTTTGGGTGGTTCATGTAAACGGCTGTAAACATGTCCCGGAAGGACGGCCATTGTTCATAACCACCATGAAATATTTCTGTGTCACATGCGGGCACCTTGAGATGGATGCCTGAACTTGCCTCTTGAGTTTGTACTTGTGGCAGCTCTCCTCGCTGATGTGGAGTAGGTGCAATTGCTTTTATTAGCTTAAGTTGGTCGGAAATCATTGCTTTAGTTTCTTCGAACTGGTCTAAGCAGTTTTCATATTTGGCGTAAGCCGAGGACTTAAAATTTTTGGTTATTCTTAGGCGTCATATGAAGCTTGGAGACGTATCCAAAAATGGTCGAGATTTTCCTTTTAGATTCTTTTGAATCTGTGTTCATTTAAAAAAATGGAAAATTAATAAAATAAAATTTCTCAATATATAATAAAACAAGCGATACTTTGTAAATTAACACTGCAACCAATATTCTTTTACGTAAATACGAGTCTTAATTCGGAGACAATGAACAAAGGTACGCGAATTTAATTTTTTTTTGTATTAATACCGATTTGTATTTTTATTTGAGATATCAAATAAGTATTCGTATTATATTTTATTATTTGTAATAAATATAAAAGTTTATATTAAATTGTTTATTAATAACCACAATTATTTATTTTTAATAATTTTTTTTTTTCCGCAAGTCCTATATGGTATACCTATAAGCGGATCAGTTTATATATATTGTATTAATGTACAAATGAGCGCTCGTGAAGAGATCACTTTATACAATACAGGGTATGCACGATTTGTTTGTGCTTTAAACTTCTGTATGCAATCCCGCTTGCTTACTGCAAGGGGTTTTGCCGAATAGATGCCGAAGTGGACTTTGAATATAATTTTGTTGTTGCTCAACCAATATACATATATGTATATATATATATATACAATATATAAATTATTTTTTTTGTATTTGTTATTAAACCGTTCTATATTTTGTGTTTTTGACCAAATTAAAATCTGTGTGAATTCCGTTTATCGTACTGTTTTAATTTGCGAAATGTTACGATTACTTTTTCGCACGATTGTACCCTATGTATTTAGGGTATACAGGCATAAGCACATTGTATACTATATGTAAATATGTATATTTATATGTATATGCGTATTATTTCCGAGGTGCGAATTAAGAGAGCAGAGAATTGCTAAATCGGTATTTGACCGACTGCACTTATGTATGTATAGATATGAGTGAATATGTTTATATATCTAAATTTGTGCGTAAGCAAATGAGCAGCTTCTTTAGCTTTCGCTTTCGCTTTGCTATTTTGCACTTAGGAATTAAGTGTGTATGTATAAGTTAACAAAATAAAAATTTTGTCACACAGTATACTGTGCTATGCTTAATAATTCTCAGGAATGCAGGTACAAAATTCGGCAAAATGTATCACGCCACCTTTACCGCTACCCACTACAAGAATGTCAAACTACAATTAAAGGATTTGAATGACGCTACTAGCACGACACTAACAGTGTGCGTCGTTGCTGACGTCTCGCGCTGCCGGTGCCGAAAATATTAACTTGGTGATTATTATAAGCTTAGAATTAAGTTTCACCTTTAATTCGGCTGTTAGTGGAGAAGGTACCCGTGATGAAGAAAAAAATAAATTAAATGTTTAACAAAAAATAAGTTAACTTATATAATGATTGTGAATATACGCGTATAATAGATATATATATAATATATATATGTATGTAAGTATGTTTACTCAAATTTGTCTATTTTCTCTCCTTTATTTTCTTTTATTGTATTTAAATTGTTATTTTGCCTTTGCTTCCTTGTTTTTATGCAGACCTGCTTATTGCTTTATTAAGCCTAAGGGGTCTGTCGGAAATTTTTGGCAAGTAAATGCTTGAAATTTTTTTTTTTTTTTATTTGGTAAATTGATGTGTTTTAACACAATGGTAAGCTTATAGGCATTGATTTCTTATGTATGTATTTGAGTTTATATATGTATTAATATACATTATACATATTGTACCAAACTGTTTTGCGTGATATCGGTATTTTCAGTTTTCCCGTAAAATAACCGTAAATTGAAACAGTTTGGTTTCCTACATACTACATACATATGTATATACCATATAATGGAAACGATACAACTCACTTTTCATTCCTCCAGGGGTTTTGGGGTGTAACATATATTTAATAAGTATTAAAGTGAGCCTATCTGTGGTTTAGAGTAATTTCCTTTGTGTTCCAGATTGTTGATATTATTAATTGTTGTAAAATTCGTGTCTTTTTGTTTGGATGTTATGTGCTTTTATCCTTTCTGTTTAAGTTCGCGCCCGTTTAAGTTTATTGTTAATTTTATTGTTACTTTCGCGCCCGCTTATATGGGTTATTTGGTTTTATTTCGCGCCCGCTTTGTTTTTTTTCACTTTATTTGTATTTGTTTGTTAAGTCACCTTGTTTGGTATGCGTTTTTAAGTGTCGTTTAAATATATATATGTTGCCCAAATAAAATAAAATTTTATAAACAATTTTTTTTGTTTGTTTTCCCTCAACAAAGTTAAAAAACCTTTGTTGCCGACCAAACGCACCAAATTTTGTACCGGTACATATGTATACCTTAATTAATTTGCTTTCTATAACTGCACTTGTTATATGTACATATAATGTATGTATAAATATGTACAATATATATATATTTTTATTTTTTGTAAATGCACTTCTTTTGTTTTTGCACTTCACGCCGGTTTTTATTTTCCGATACTTTTTTGTTTTGTTTTTTTTTCTTTTGTTTTTACTGTTTCACTGTACTTTGGTCACTTTCTATATAATATGTAATTTACTGGTTTTGTCAATGTTTTACTGCACTTTGTGTTTTGTAAAACTTATAACTCCACGTGTATATTAGAGTTTTTTTTAAATACAAGGTTTTAAAAAAAATCGAAATAGACGATCGTGGAAAAAAAGGCGGAACTTCAAAACGACTTCTCTGCTATCGCTTTCGAGTATAAAGAGGCCCAGTGCGTTCGCCCTCCCTCCTTTTGTTCATGTTGGTGTGTAGAGTTGTTCTCCTGTGTGTGGGTGTATGCTACTGCTTCCAGCAAGGTTGCCTTGGTGCGTGGTGTGTGGGTGAACTGATGTTTCCAGGTGTGGTGTGCCAGTGTTGTCTTATAAGTGCAGTGTTGTGTTGTCGTGTGAGTGGTGTGTTGTGTGGTGTTGTGTGGTGTTGTTGACTGCATAAGGCCGGGAAGCTAAACTCATTTAGCCATATGGGTATATAAAAGTACGTAGGCTGTGTGTAAAAAAATATACCATAACAAAACTATTATACTCTGTAGCAACATGTTCAAGAGTATAATAAATATCAGTACACTGTGTTGGTAGTTTCAGTTACACTAGATTTCTTGACCAGCCAAGTGCTTTATTCAAACTTGGCAACAATTCTGTGGATTAAATTTTTGGTTTGATAGCACGATCAAAAAAGCCTCATCCTCTAAAAAGTTCTTGGACACCAATTGAAAAAGTTCTAAAATGTTTTCAATATAAAATAAATGAACAAATTTCAATTGAAAGAAATCAGTTTCCAGTTGTTCCGGCTGAGGGAATAACTATTCATAAAAGCCAGGACGCCACATATAATAAAGTTGTAGTTCATACTCGACCCAGAATACCTAGAACTTCAATATATGTCGCTTGTAGTCGAGTTACTTCTGCAGAACGTCTATTCATCATAGGAAATTTTATTCCTTCTAACAAGTTTTCTGAATCGGATCCTGTATTTTTCCTGCATTATAACATATGCAAAGCATAGCATTGCTAGCTCTATTGAGTCAAAGGCTGTAAAGAAAATTTACTAAAGCCGCAAAGTTTTAGAAGGTTTTGTTTAAATGTTTCAACATTAATATTCTGGTTCTATACAGAAATTCAGCTTTCTCTGTCAGGCATTTAACTGTAGAACTTCAGGAAGTCCTTATTTCTGAGTTATGCAATCAAAATGTGCTAATTGTTGGAGATTTTATTTATGTTTGTTTAATGTCTACAGGGACTACAGTAAGAAATCTGCTTCAAGAAAAAACTTTAGTTCCCTCCTTGGTGTAGAATATTCAACTACACCTGCCGGTACACAAATTGATTGGGCAGTTTTAAACATGAATACTTCCCATGTTAATGCAATTACTTTTGAGACAGTACACAGCTACCATGACAGTATTTGTGTCTCTATTTCGAACTAAAGTTTTCAGACTCAGTGCCATAGTTCTTCATTTTTTTTTAATGTAATCGAATTATAATGATATAGCAATTTGGACAATAGCTTTTAAGACAACTTTAAGATAAATATGTAAATAATCTAATTAAGAAAATTTGAAATTATATGTATAATTTGTTATTATAGAAGACATTATTGCATAAATATATGATAGAAATTAATTAGTATAAGGAGAAAAAAAAATATATTTTGGATATTTGTATAAGAATCTCTATAAAAAATTATGTTTAATATTGTTAGTATTATAAACAAATTAATATAATAACATAGATTTTAAAGTTGTTAATATTTATTATTTTTAAGCTAAACGTGTATAATAATATCGATAAAATAAATAAAAAAATGTTATTCATTGTCAAAAACCGATTTCTGTTCATACAAAAATTCAGGATTCATTATAACTATATGTATAAAACGCTTACTGTGCTATCGAACGCAGCCTGATGTATAATTGGAGGCTTTAAGTCTTTACGCAGTACAGTGCACATAACAGGATCTGACCAGCAACGAGGAATAATGTCCCTTAACGTTGAATCGATCTTAACTTCAGTGATATTTAAGTTGCACCTGAATAAACGGTAAATAATATTATTTATGTTAATGCTTATTTATGTTCATGAATTTATATATGTTATAAGGATTTATATATATAGTTTGTATAAATAAGCGGAGATTTCTTCCAATATGACATCGACTATAATCTGACAGCCATTCCGACATGTGTTATATATTATTACTAACGCAACCACTCAAATGTCTGTCCCGCCAGTACGGCTGGTATAAATTAGTGCGTTTTCTCTAGGGATTTTAAATCTTAAAAGTAACTAGTGAATTCATGGCACAGAGGTAAATTGAGCGGATCAGTAGTACCTGAGAGAGAATGAGAGAAAAGAGAACATGATCTACAATACGCAGGAAAACATCAACCGTGTTTGTATTGTTTAACCCCGTGAGACGTGTTTGGCTAAGAAAAAGACAAACATTTATTCAAAGGAATTTTTAGTACCCCCAAAAGGTGTATATATTTTTTCTCTACAGAAAACCTGAACGCCGCTAGAATGATAAAATTAAAAAAAACGGTTTTTGAAGTCAGCTGAAAATGTTTTTGTGTAAAAATACAATGGTCCGAAACATTTATAGCAGTAGACTCTGTACTCAATGGAAACAAGAAAACCATATTGTTACTTCAGATTTACCCCTGCGGGCAGGGAATAGAATATGCCCGCGGCAAGGCATGCCTGTCGTAAAAGGCGACTAAAAGCCAATATGCACTATGACTGTTATTATATTCTTTGCCCAGTAATATCAGCATAGTATATGGAGTGATAGTGCTATAATACTCAGCTTGAACTGATATTAGAAACACTTTAAATGAAAAAGCGAATAAAAAGACATTTGAAGTTCAAGCGACAAATGTCACCAGTCATTTGAGTAATGGGTAGCTCAACTGGCAGTAGTTTAGGCTACGCAGTCTGACCGGAGACTTTCCGGTACCACGGGGAGCAGAAAGCCCTTGGACTTCTGTTCAATCTGCTCATTGGGTTCGGCCCTTTGGGGAGTATCGTGGTGGCTGTGGTTTAAACCTAAATGCTGGAAGAACTGAATTTTCAGTTCGAAAAAAGAAGTTACACAAGTAACTGGGTGCCGTACCCGAAAACGGAAGAGGTTTTAGGTCGGCCTCGAATCATACCAAGATGGTAGTGTGGACCCAGACACACTGCCACTGGTATCCAAATAAATACTTGCATAAGCTCGTATTGTTTGGGGCGCTGATCAACGCATTGTATTGATCCGTTGTGTTTTGAACACCGTGAGGTAAGGCCGTCGCCGGCAGGTACTCACGTAAATCTACAACGAAAGTTGTTACTTCAGATTGGCCATCATAGTCACCAGACGCCAATATAATAGAGAATGTTTGGACTTTACTGAAAAACAAAGTAACAAGAGCACATTTAATGTCAGCAATGTTTAATTTAGCTACTCCGGAATACTTGGAGGTACAAGTTGCCATCAAAAATGTTGAGCCATAATGAATAACGCGGGAGATTGGATCCAACTAGCTATAACAAAACAATGTATTTTCTATAACTACAAAATTTTTCCCAATAAACTCTATCTACAATTTGGAAAAGGAAAACGAGAGCTGATATTAAGCACAAATTTACATGAAATTCAAGTTTGAAATAAATGAATAAATTACAAAATTCTTAGTTGATAACATGTAACATTTAATTTTTTAAACGAGGCAGGTGGGATGGATAACTTAATAATGTCTAATTATTTAATTCAATTAATTTAATTAAGCTCTAAAAGATGCACTAGATTCCTTGTTACCTCATCGCTAACTAATACAAAGATTCGACGTTTTCCGACACGCTAGCATTCAACTAATTTTTGTCATAAATTGTATTACAAAGTTTGAAATGCATACAGGTAAGACAAATTCGCAGAAAAAAGAAATTTTCCATTCTAATTTATATGCAGTGTCAACTCATACCATAGATGTTTTCTATATATAATTACGCTAACAAAATTGTTGACTGTGTTGCCGATGACATACATATATGGACAAAATTTATACCGTTGGAAAGGAGAAGACGTGCGACCGTTCCCACGATAGTCGGGTCTACAAGTCAGTTGAAAACTTTCTACTCTCGAAATGAAAAAAATACTGTTTTTGGTACGAATTATTTTTTTATTCAATATAATCTCCCTTTACTTCAATACACTTATTCCAATGATCCTCCACAAATTTTATGCCATCCCTATAATGACTTTCCGGAAGCTCTGCAAAATACCCGTCTACGGCTGTAATAGCGTTTTAATTCGACGAAAACGCTTTCCACGAAGGAATTGTTCCAGGTTTCTGAAGAGGTTGTAGTAGCAGGGAGCTAAATCTGGTAAATACGGTGGACGCTCAAGCAATTCGTACTTTAGTTCGTAGAATGTTGTCATTGTTAAATTCTTTGTCAGCAGGTGCATTGTCTTGATGAAAAATGATTTTTTGTACTGCAAACTAGGTCTTTTCTCACAAATGATTTCATCCAGCTGATCCAAAAGGCTGCAATAATATTCAGAGTTGATTGTTTTACCCTTCTGCAGATAATCAATCAACAAAATTGATTTTGCATTCCCAAAAAAACTGATGCCTTAACCTTCTTTGCTGATCGTTGAGACTTGTCCTGCTTTGGAGCTTAACAACCAGTTTCAGTCCACTGTAAACGTTCTTGTTTTAATTAGGATCATTGTGATAGATCTAAGTCTCATCCGTAGTTATAAAACGGTGTAAGAAATCGGATTTATTCTGCTTAAAACACTCCAAATTATGCTGAAAAATTTGCAAATTTAAAATAAAATTAGAATGAAATATTTCTCACTACATGACGGAGTCTGTCAATTTTTAGTCTCCCACCAGAGGTAAGACAATATTGTATAGCTCATCATCTTACAAACCAAATAAACATTTGGTAATTCGGGCCGCATAGAGCTCAATTAAAATTTAAAAGTCCTGTTGATAGGCAATACCATCATTTGATCTAGATAGAGTATAAAGAGATCAAGCGCAAGTAGTATAAGTCTCAAAACATAAAAGAGAATTACTTGGCAATAATAAAGAATTTAAATAAGAGCCAAAAGAGCTCAAGAAAAATTAAAAATACAGGCAGTTTGGAAAAACGAAAAGTGATACTTCTCAATCAATGACGTGTCTATCAATTTTAGTCCCCCAATAGAGGTAAGACAATATTGTATAGATTCTCATCATTTGGTCTTACAAACCAAATAAACATTTGGTCCTTCGAGGAGGGTAGATGATAAAGTATGCAGGCAAAATATATAATAATTTGGTCTTATAAACCAAATAAATATTTGGTCCTTCGAACCGGATATTGCTTAAGTGGAAAAGTCCTGTATAAAGCAGCATCAATTCAATAAAGATTTGATCCAAAAGAGCGATATCATAAAAAACTAAGGAAGCAAAAGCACAAGTAAGGAAGGGCTAAGTTCGGATGTAACCGAACATTTTATACTCTCGCAAAGTCAAATGGTATACTCGTTTGAGATTTCTTTGTGGATTGACTGATATTTTCGGTAGAAGGTCAACTATAGGCACTGGGGTCCACATATTTAGTACTTAGGGGATTGAACAGTTTTGGTTCGATTTAGACAATTTTTGGTCACAAGGTGGCATACTTTAAACGTATTATTCACGCAAAGTTTTACCCCGATATAATCATTGTTGCTTGATATGCATAGTGGAAAGTGAAAGAATCAGATGGAATTGAAAATAGTGTTTCATGGGAAGTAGGCGTGGTTGTAGTCTGATTTCGCCCATTTTCGCACTATGACATAGAAACATTAAAAGAACGTTACGCACCGAATTTGGTTGAAATCGGTTAAGCAGATCTCAAGATATGGGTTTTCACCTAAAAGTGGGCTGTGCCACGCCCACTGTCTAATTTTGAACGCGGTTCCTATAAAGTCATCTTATACCATCTTAGAGATAAAATTTAATGTCTCTGGCGTGTTTAGTGCTTGATTTATCGCGCTTTTAGTAGTTTTTAACAGTACCGTTATATGGGGAGTGGGCGGAGTTGCCACTCGATTTCAACTATTTTCACACCGTGAATAGAAGTGCTAAAAACATTTGCTTCCAGTGAATTTTGTTATTATAGCATTAGCGGTTTAGGAGATATGCACATTAAACCTATTAGAGGCGGGACCACGCCCACTTTTTAAACAAAAAGTTTTAACTGCAGATGCCCCTCCCTAATGTGATCCTGTGTACCAAATAACAGTCTTGTATCTTATTGCGGAGCTTAGTTATGGCAAGTTATTTGTTTTTGATTAATGGCGTTTTGTGGGCGTGGCAGTGGTCCGCTTACGCCCATCTGCAATACCAACCGTCTCACGGTACCAAGAAACATGTCTAGCAAGTTTCATAAAGATATCTCAATTTTTACTCAAGTTAGAGCTTGCACGGACGGACGGACGGACAGACGGACGGACGGACAGACAGTCACCCGGATTTCAACTCGTCTCTTCATCCTGATCATTTATATGTATATAACCCTATATCTAACTCGATTAGTTTTAGGTGATACAAACAACCGTTAGGTGAACAAAACTATTATACTCTGTAGCAACAGGTTGCGAGAGTATAAAAACGATCAACTCAAAATTGAACAGATAAGAGTCGAGCTACACGTAGAAGACATTAACTTTGAGAAGCAAAATGCATTCAATAAAATATTTCTCACTAGATGGCGGTATTTGCCAATTTTAAGTCCCCCACCAGACGTAAGACAATATTATAGCTCGTCATCATTTTGTCTTACAAACCAAATATGAGGGTTTCGGTAGAAAAGTGTAAATTTTTCAAAACGGAACTCGAATATCGGCTTCAAAATATCAAAAGAGGACGAAAAATTTGCTCACAATAAATTGAAGCAATTCACAAATTGCCACAACCAACAATACTAAGAGTCGTTCGATCTGTTTTAGGAATGAGAGGTTACTACAGATGCTTCATCCGCGACTACGAGAATATTGAAAAACCATTAACTAAT